CAATCCGAAGAATTGATCTTGGAAAATACGCTACAGTTTTGTCTTCAACAAAATGATCCAACTCTTCTCGAGTTACCCAGGCCGGATTTCTTTAAGGCGTTGAAAGTGTACGTTCGAGATTATTAGCATTTTTTGAAATAATAAATAACTCGACTTTTTTCATTTCCCTTTACTGGAATGTTTCTTTGGGGTGCGTGGTGGGGGGGGGGGCTGTATTTTGATTTCAAAGTCGTTTTCAACCGGCGCAGTTACGGTATTAATATATTCTATTTTAAAGCAGAGAGATCCGCGAGTGCTGTGAGATTCAAAGGCCAGCAAAAACCAAAAGTGAACAGACTTTCTCTTCGTTACAATCATAATTAAAAGGTAATGTGAGTAACGACTTGCATTAACATCAATTTTCAGTGCATAAGAACACGATCAAATCCCTGTTGAATTATGCTACGTATCGTCATACCTTTATAACCTTTATATGCAATTAAGTGAAGTAACAGGAAAAGATAATCAACTTACTTCCTCCTTCTCCCCCCCAACACCCCCCCCCCCACTCCCCCCCGCAGACATTGCATAATTATATCTAATCCATTTTTAACCTTGTTTCCAGTAAGAAACCTATTTTAATGTGACGCTCAACAGTAATAACAATTAACACTGTTTTAATTGTGGCATGGGTTTTCCGATGGCCTTTGGTGAGAGCTCCTCAGCTGGGGGAACCCATCGCAGTCCTGAGGGTGAGTGAAAACATCAGGGCTCATTTTCACACCCTATTTCCAATCCGTTACATCTCTGTCTGACACGTTTTAGCCTCATTGTGTTGCTGCTGATCCTAATGAATCGAATGCAACCCTCCACCCTCGGCCCTCCCTCTGCTGTGTGATGATAGATCGATTTTCTGGTTTTTTTTAAAAAATTGAAAAATAAAAAGAAAATCCATCGACTGAGAAAGTGGTTTGCACAAACCTACATGGAGGCAGTGTTCAGATACATTAACCATGAGTTCAGTACCTCGTTTCACATACGTTAATATTGTGTACACACAATCAGCCGTCTTTCAACAACATCAATAACTGTTTTAAGTTATTTAATTTAAGTTATTTTTTTTAAAAAATATTACTGAAATTAGCTAAATAAAAGTTCTTTATTTTCACATTCCCAATTATACGAGTCAATTGGTAAATGTAGATAGTCGATAGGAAGACAAATCGAAGTCTAGATTTCGCTTTATCTTTTTGCCAAAACAAATGTTTAATTTTAAATCCAACCTTCCCAAGCAGACATGCTTTCTTTTGAACGATTATTGCCAATGTTTGTAATCTCATACCGTGTTAAACACAAGGCGCAAAATGAGATCAGATGTGACAGAGGGAGATTTTTTATGCAGTTTAAAATAAAGGAATCCAGTCTTCTGAATCTGTCTGCTCCCTCGAAGGAAATTATTAACTTGAAAAGCTTCTGGTCTCGAAATAATGGGTCAGAAATTACAAAGAGATTCGTGTTGGAATACTAAGTATGTGAGGCAGAACCAAGTCCTAAATGCTACTAGGCCTTTAGTAAGTACTGCAGTTACACTAATATTTATTCTGTTTAGCCATATGACTCTCAAAAGCAAAAACCTCCTCAAGAAAATACACCAATGCTTGGAAACATTGCCAAACTCCCCTTTTATTTCTAACTTTAACCGCGTGGACCTTAACATACTTTCTTGACAGTGTTCGCTGTATTAAAATCAAAAAAATTACATACATTCTCGTTCACACCATTATAAGAAAGAATATAATCCTATCTATCCGTTCGCCAGCATTTGCAGGCGCGTTGTCTGAAAATGCACCGAGACCTCTCTGGGAGTTAAACTTCGGGGAAGTTTGAGGAAAGGAACTGGAAGGAAACCAAAACATGCAGTCCTACTAACTGTTCGGTTAATAACCACATGTGAAATAAACTCTGTGCTAAATACAGACAGATAACCAACACGTCAAATCAGAAGGTGCTTCTGTCAGGTAATTGAATCGAAAGCGCTCCGATCCGTTCCACTTTTTACAGTCTTGTAAAGTTATTGCTGTTTATGCTCCCGGAGCGTGGACACTCACCTTTATCTGTGTTTAATAAAAACTGTGGATCGTTGTTGGGGGTAAGTAGCCCGGGAATCAGGCGGGGGTTCTGATGGGTTCTGCATGCTTTGCCTGCACGTTGTTCAGTTATGTTGATTTTAAGAGCAAAGGACAACAGCGGCTCCAGCTTTATATTTACCCATGAAACTGCCCTGATTCTTGTTGCACCAACTACCATCCAAAGCAAAGTAAAACGGCAGCCATTGATTGTCTCAAGAAATTGTTTTTTACTTTGTTAGGGTTTGCTGATGGTATTGGAAGGATAAATACATAAACATGGACACTTCATTAGAATGTAAAGAATTCCTTATATTTGCAATAATTTCTGTGAAATAAATGATCTGAGCCGGTATTTTCCCTACGTTTTAACGTTATTGTAAAATAAATAAAGGAACATAAAAAATAAATCAAGCACTGTAAACCTTCCCACAGTCCATGTCACATTGTACTTGAAGTGCGATGATGCACACAATTTATTTTCCAACCTTTTAGTTTGGTGTATAAATACCAGAATTCCTAAACTAATGCAATCGTTTCCTTCTTATTTACAATATCCAGTCAACGTTTATTTTTTTTTAACTCTAACAGGTTTCTATCGTGTTTGACTTAAAAAGCCACCACGTTTTCAAATACGATACATGTTTGTCGTTATAAATATTAAACGAACTAATCAAAGAAAGCGTGTTTTGTACAATTCAAGGTTCGTGAAAAGACTGGATAAGTTCTAGAAGGAAACCTTATTATATTGACCTGTTACCATAGTCACCTATCAAATTAAATATGGCGATTTAGTTGGTAAATGTTTATTATCACGCACTCATCGGACTCGATTTGAATATAAAACAGTCCACTTCAGATAGCTGATCCAATGGTAAAATTCCAGTGTGTCAGAGCGCTCTCCATTGAAATCCCCTGTACAGAATTCCTGATCCATAACCTAATCTAACAAGACTAAAATAATGACGTTTTTAAATTTTAAATAGTTCATTAAATGTCAACTCAGTCCCATGTTTCATCCCAACTAATAATATATTTTAAAGTTAGAATTTGTGTAACGTGTGTGTGTGTATATATATATAATGTGTGTGTGTGTGTTGTTTAAGGGTTATTTCCATTTTGCTGAGATATGAGATAACAAACTATGTTGCACCCATCTACAACATGGTCCATTTCTCTGCATCATTTCAAGATCCCGACTCAAGCAGTACTTTGGAACAAGCATAAAATTAGGAAAACTGCGTTATTTCCGATCTCAGCTGCAAATGCCATTATGCACAGAAATTAGATTATGAAGTAGTGATACTTCAATCTCTCCGGCTGCCAACCTCTTCAATAAAATGGTTTCGGCTCCTTTTACATCCTTGTTATTCTCCACTCAATTTCGCACTACATTTTTTTGGCCCATCAGGGGGCAATTACATGATAATTAAGAGAATTTCACGGTTCCTCTCACAGTGTGTGTGTCCCGCCAGTGATCAATGATCAAAGCGAAAGCCATTCATGTTCAAAATCCACTTGTGTGGGTTATAATTACAAACAAGTGTTTTTATATAGAGATACAAAGAATGCAATTCTGTCACGCGTTGTAGTTTGTCAATGCTCCATACACGGTACCAGTTGTGACAAAGGAAACTGGACAACAAATCTTGATTTTTTTTCCCCACTGTTTTCTGGATTTTGCCGGTTCGGGTTAGACTTTATTCGTAATTGTTCAGCTATGGACATTGTTTTCCCCTTTTTCGATACGCGCAAATCGGAATTGGTTTCTGATTAAAACACAGCCAAATGTCACTTTCAAAATCGTTACTTCGGATAATCAACAGTTAACACGGAGGGGAATTTTGCCCACTGCGGTGTGCCCGTTGTTAATTCATTTAAATGTTGCGTGAAATTATATATCATATGACACACCATCATTCTGGGTTTTGAATCGTGTACCAAGGTACAGAGGGGGGGGGGGGGGGGGGGGGGGGGGGGGAGTGAGAGTAGGTCCACCAATTTTAAAGGCGGGTTTCCAAATCAAATCTCATTGTCAGTCTCGTCAAAACATTGCAGACTGCTTGTATCATTTACTTTTAATAACCCGACCCTTGAATTCTGGACATTGTGTGTGTGTGTGTTTATGACACTGACTCCAAGTCCGCCTTAGCTGTCCATTAGTGTTCAGTTTGTGGTGGGTGGGGAGGGGGGGGGAAGAGATTTCCGAAAGATTTAACTCGTTCAAAATACAAGGTCTGGAAATTATTCTGTTTTAATTTAATTAATCAAATTAATTAACTGAAACAAAACAATTGGATTGATTCTGAAGTGGGGTGGGGGGGGGGGGGGGGGGGGGGAGTGTAAGTGTTAGAAAAATTCCAAGGCATGAACAAATACAGACGCCTTTTCCAGCCGCAAACACATGGTTCCGCTTTTGCGCGGAAGAGACACCGCAACGCGTTTAAAACCATCACAATACAACCCATCAGTTGGATGTTTGAAGCTTCTTGTCCTTATATACCACAACACAAAAGAGTTGCAATGTTGTAGCATTGCATATGACATATTTAATATGTAGATGGTAACGGTTAATTCCAGAACCGGTTACTTTATTCTGGGATTTGTTTTGCTATAAATGTTTGTTGGAATATTAACATCTGGTCAGTGAAACCATTGCAATTGTTAATTTGACGCTGATTTTATTTTATGAACGCCCTCAATCCAAAAAGCACTACAGTATTATAAATGAGTACCGAAACAGCTTCTTCTTTCCCGCCTGCATTCTTTCTTTTACACTGGAAAATAACAATAATAATTTTGAATCGTTTCGTTCTGCGGCCGAGCCAGAAGAGAGAGAAAGAGAGAGTAAGGACGATAAAAACCACCAGGTGAATTAGCATTTTTTTATTATTTTTCTCATCAAATCAAAATAATTTTATTCATTTCATAGAATTACAATTACAAAAATTAACAACTTCTTAAAATTCCATTAATTTGCATTATTATGTTTTTTTAAAACAACTTAAAAACTAAAAAAGGGACCTAAACCATGCAATAAATTAGGCACATTGAGAAAGCCACGAGAACCCGTCTGGCTATGCTAACACCAACCAACATCTCTAGATAAGCTAAAAACATGTGAAAAGTGCATTAACACTGAATGGAAATAGAGCTAAAAAGGCGTTGTGGAACCACAAAAGAGTAGCTTCTCGAGTTTCCTGATGCAGGTAACAAACACATGGTTCATTTTGACAATAAACCCACTTTTGTTTTTTTTTAAAAATTGCAACTGTGCTGTTGAAGAAATAAGCATGCAAAAAATGTCCAGATATATTCTTTCCTGCTTCACTCACCGAAACGGCACAGCGTCCAATACAGAGAGTTTTTTTTTAAATAGAAGTTTCATAAAATTAACATTAAAAAGTCCCCATTACGCACCCCGCTTTTACTCCCTCTCCTCATATGTACTAGTCTGTACAGTTTATTTTTGTATTGCCACAACTTGTAAACAGCCGTTGGAAATGTCGATTGGACACGACGGAGAAATACAGTATAGCACAACTTATTCCTAAAAATTTGACAACACGCTTCCCCCCCCCAATTTTTTTTAAATACGGCCTGCAAAACGTTTGCGATATATATATATATCTATATATATTTCCCGCGGAATATACAATCGTGATTGATCGCCAAACTTTTGCAGATAACTTTACACTCCCACAATTATTTTTTGTTTTCTTTATACATAAAATGTTAGAAAGTAACAGTCTTTTTTTGTGCACCGCCGGAGGTGTGCACAGTGAAGGGGTTGTGTGTGTGTGTGTGTGCGTGGTTGGGTGTGTGAGTGGGTGGGTGGGTGGTGGGGGGTGTTGGACAGACAACTGAGCAAAAGTTTACCTGCAATGAATTTAGTTGGTGTGTGGTATGTGTGTGTGTGTGTGTGTGTGTTGGTTGATGGGTGCAAGACTAGGATGTGTTGAGCAGAGGTCTGGAATACACACCTTGGTAATAGGAAGCTTCGCTGACCAGGGCCGGGGGGTCGATGCCACTCTTGCCCATGGAGCTGAGAGGCAGACTGCCTGCCATGCCTCCCCCGTAGCTGGAGTAGTGCATCGCCTGCTCGTAAGCCTTCAAGTCCATCTTGTGATGCTGCTGCTCCGATGACATGAGGTTGTTGATCGAAAAGGGGTGGTTGAAAGAGTAGTGCGGGTCTCCCTTCAGGTGGTGATGGACCTGCTGCGAGTCGCCGGCACCCATGGACAGCCCTGGGTGAAGGTGCGGGTGGGAGTGAGGGTGGGAGTGAGGGTGAGGGTGAGGGTGTGGGTGGGAGTGAGGGTGAGGGTGTGGGTGAGGAGTCAGAGGGACCCCCAGCACAGAGGCCGAGCTCACAGAGGGAGCCTGGGTCTTGATGTCGGTGTGAGGCGCTCTGTCCGGGCTGGAGTCAGGGTTGGAATCGCTCTCGCCCTGGGCTCTGCCTCCGTTATTAGTATTATTATTATTATTATTGCTGCTGCTGTTGTTGTTACTGTTACCCGCGCCGTTGCTGTTGCTGTTGCCAGCGGGGGAAGAGCCGGTGTCTTTCCTGCCTCCCTCGGCTTTGGGCGAACATTTCTTGTCGCACTTGAAGCGCTTCTGGCGGCGCAGGTAGCAGCCGTTCTCGAACATGTTGCCCGAGTCCGGGTGCAGCGTCCAGTAGGATCCTTTGCCCGGTTTGTCGGGGGAGCGGGCAACTTTGATGAAGCAGTCGTTGAAGGAGAGCGAGTGTCTGATGGAGTTCTGCCAACGCTGCTGGTTCTGCCGGTAATAAGGGAAAAGGTCCATGATCCACTGGTAGATCTCGCTCAGGGTCAGCATCTTGCTGGGGGCCTGTTGGATGGCCATGGTGATGAGCGAGATGTAGGAGTAAGGCGGCTTGGCGTGCGGGTAACTGCGTCTGAAGTTCTTGGTGTCTCTGGGCCGGTTCAGGTTGCTTTGAGTGTAAGCCATCGGGCTCATGGCGGGGTTCATGCTCGAGTAAGGCGTCAAAGCGTTCATGGATGCCTGCTGGGCGCTCATGGCGCTCATGTTGGGGCTGAGAGCCGTCCCCATGGCAGGCACCCCCGATCCCATGCCGTTCATGCCACCGGGGCCGCTGGCAGCCATGCCCGCCATGGTGGGGCTGAGCCCAGCGCCGATCCCGGGGTTTCCGTAGGACATGTTAAAGGAGCCCGGGGTCATGTTGCCGCTGGAGCTCATGGGGTTCATGCTCATGTAGGTGTTCATACCGTTCATGCCGCCCAGTCCCGAGCTCATGCTGCCGACTGGTGCCGCTGAATAGGCCTTCACAACAGAAAGGGCAATGTTAATCCCACCTGTTCAGAACTCCGGCGATGCCTTTTCTTTGATAAACAACCAACGATAATCCCTCCCAAAAAATATTGGGTCACTAGATTACAACTGTCTGTCGGACGGTGCTGTGCGTAATTGGCTGCTGGCGTTTCACGCACAAAATACACAGTAAATTCACGTTACAATATATTTTGTGAAGCGCTTTGAGGCGTTTGAACAACGTGATAAGACTCTATAACGAATGCAAGTGTTGTTATGATTATAACTCTAAATTGCGGTCATCCTACGGTATTGTTTGATGGGACACTTGGCAGGTGGCGGTTTTAGTTGTGTCCCCCCCCCCCCCCCCACGCACGCAAAAAAAATAGAACAAAACCGCATTTCATCTCGAATCAAACGAAGGTGTGAGGAAGCCACGCCTTTTTGATCATAAATTTTTTTTTACAGGTGCATCCTCAAACAGTGGAACACTATCAGGTACAATGGTGCTGCTGATTATTCTTTATGACTTCTTACCCATTTCCCTGTGTTAAAAAAAAAGGCAGCGCTAAACTTAAGTCCATTGGGAGCCCAACGCAAAGCAACAGCAAAGCGCACTGGAGGTGGGACTCGAACCTCCTCTCTGGTGCCACCGCGTGGACCATCACTTTGGAGTCTTGCTCTAACCCTTCTCTGCCGCGCACACAACCCCCCCCTACACACACACACACACACAAAAAAAAACCCCATCACAGGTTTTGTATCGCTATCTCTTTCTGTTTCAAGAGGCCTTTCTTTTTTAATTGCCGTCCGGGGACCCATCTCGCCACAGACGCTGATCAACGTGGAAAGGAGTGAACTCAACTACACGTAGTTCCATGGGAATTCGAGCTGTTAAAATAATCAGCTCGGAAATAATGCGAATTAAAAAAAAACACCTTCCAAAGGAAAATATATCGACTTGCTAAACAGGAAGGTCCGAATGGGTCACTCTAGACTCACCTCCTGGGGTTCACCGTAATAACTACTCCACTCGGAAGCCTCGTGTCCTTCCATCTTCACCGCACCTAACATCATGGAGGCAGAACGCAATATACCAACATCAAAGCTGCCCCCAAAATAAAATCCCACCGCGGATGCACTCCAAACTGCAGCGCAGCCAGAAAGATAGCGAAGCAGACTGTGGGTGTTGTGGGGAAGTGTTGTGAGGCGAACACTGAGTGAGAAGCGCTGGGGACTTGCGTAGTGATTTAACTGCCCACAGAGCCTGCCTCCTATCCCGATTTGTCCAGATCTTTTCTCTATTTGAATAATCAGCTCTCACCTCGGCGTTTGGATACGTCTTGTTGTTCCTATGGCACACCTGCCCTTAACTCCGAGCAGAATTCACATGCCAACTCGCTGCCACTCACTCACTCAGTCACTCACTCAGTCACTCACTCACTCACTCACCCAGTGGGGCCAGACAGACTTGAGGCATTGAAAAATAGTTCCTATCGGATTTGTAAAGAGACTAATTGGTTTAACTCGGAAACAATAGGAAAGACAAACTTTAGCAGTAGGATGAGAAACGACCAAATAATCCGCCGGCAAAAACCCAAATCACAGAGGCACGTTATTCAAGCGATTAAACGCTGGCGCTAACGATGGTTTTTTTTTTCTCTCTTCCTTTTATACCTTTTAAATACATCTGATTTTTGTAATTACACGTAACCTTTTTGGTATCAATTTACCAGATGTTGTATTAATTGGAAACATCTAATTATTCCCCCCCCACCCCAACAAGATTGCAGTTCAACTAAAATGCGATTTCAGGGAACTAAACGTGATCTTAATAGTTTATTAGCCCCACGAATGAGTTTATTTTTGTAGAGAGAGAGAGAGAGGAGAGGGTATTTGGAGATTGGAATACACGTATTTGCGATTATGTGATTTGTTTGGCCTTTTAACAGTTTGAACCCTCACGCTTAAAGTTTACAAGACTGGTACAGTTAACACATTTCAACCCAATGTCAACACTGGGGATTAATTTAATAAACACTTCGTTCAGATTCATTCATGTATTCATTCGCACTTCGGGGGAAATCCATCGTGAAGGTTAAAAGGGATTGTGTAAAAATGCGTTAAGTTAGTAAATCAGTAAACTGTGTACCAGATCGTTGCTCTTTCAGGCAGTCCAGCGATAGCACCGTTAGCAAACCTTTGGACTAGTAAATATCTTATCTCAATCAATAACGGTAGCGTTTCCAAAAAAAACACACATTATTTTTGGGAAAAAACACTGCCCTGATCCCTGGCAATTCATTAAATTACACGCTCTGTGAGCCGCAATCCGAGTTTCACATGTTTAGTGGACAGATTACAAAGGGCGATGGACCTTTATGTCTGTTGTTCATTTAGAAATCTAAACAAATGTCTGTTTAATAAGGCATTAGAGGGAGCCACATTCCTACCCAGAAAGAGACGGATCGGACTGAAAGTGGTAGATGTAATTAGCCCCAAGGTAGAATTTACTCTGTAGTGTGTGTGACGTCTTTGAGGAATGGTGTAAATAAACGCATTCTTCGACCTTCTTTCGTCGCCACAGGTCGTAAAAATGCAGAAAGGGAGAATAGTTTGCATTCAAGATCACGTACCTCGGGTTACCCTCTTTAGGATTTTGCAGCCAGTAACAGCCCTCGCCCCCAAGTCATCAATAAATGAAGCCCCTTGCCTGTCCATTGGCTTTATTTAGCACCTAGCAACGCCACAGCTTGGGGATCAGGGATGTTAACCCGAACAAAATGAACAGTTCTGGATTTTTTTTTGGAAAAAAAATCTGTCTCTCGGTCTGCCCTATCTATGGAAGGCTGTTTGTTGCTCCCGCCGTGAGATGGGTCTCAAATACAAGAAAGACAGCCAGAGAGAAGGGTCTGGGGGTAACCAACCAACAGGCAACATCAAACCTAAAACACCACATCAGCTATATATAGGGAAATCCAAACAGAGCTAAACACAGTCTGCACTTTTTGTATTTTTTCAAATTGTGTTTGTTTATTTATGAGTTACCTCTGCTGAGGAACGTTTATTTTTAGTTTAATTCTGCACGGTATATTTTCAGAAGATGTTGCCAGACAAAGTAATAATGTCTCTCGGAGCAGACGCTCTGTGAGTGTGTAAAAAAGCAGCCTGTTTTTAGCTTTCTTGGAGTCCCTCCAAGTACTATATTTAGAAATAAAAATACAGAAATCAGCCTGGCAAGTTCTCCCCACGCCACATAACCAGCTTACAATATTGACTTTGTCAGAAACCGGCGGCGTTCAGAGAAGTTTGGAATAAAGATAAATAAAATTCGATTTTACATATATTACATGGTAACATTAGTTGAAAGAGTCAAACAAACGCGCAGCAGCATGTTCATTTCTCGCCCAGAGTGTTTGTCTTTTCATTTTCATTAAAAACAATACTTTAAACGCACATTTTATTTCCCTTTGTGGGTGGAACTGTCCAAACTCGAGAGATTATAACAGGACAAGTTAAACAACTGTGTCCGTGCGTAGCCCAGCAAACTCATGTTTGTCAATTAATCAATTCATAAAAGAACATCTCTACTCGATCTGGACCGGTGTTGCGAGGAGCAGATCGATTCTTGCACAGCAAGCCAGTGAGTGTGATTGTGTCACCACATCTCACAGCCTCCCCCTCCCCTGGGAGATCAGATCACTGNTTTTTTTAATGTGATATAACCGATTCTTATTTCTAATCGGTTCTTGGAAATCGCCGTATTCAAGTTTTCTACTTTGCAAGCGGCAACGTTATCTTTATGTCAAACAAATTATCAGTGTGCAGAATACACAATGTCGATACTCTATAGCATATCTCTGGTGAAGTGTAAGTTATACGTATATTAAAAATCACAGTTGGTCTTTGCAAAAGCGCCAATGTGATCTGCTACAGTCAGTACGTGTATGACCGCACAACTTCAAAATACTTGACATGCTTTAAAGTCCAAGGGTTTTTTCGGCCCCTGTGTATAAGTGATCTTATAGACTGTGTATGTATTTGACCCTCTCTGGAGCGATGCTCGCAAGGTGTGTGAAAGGTTCCAACATCTGGCCAGCAGACGCCAGCCCCATTTCCTAGCAAATTACATAGAGCCGTGTCCTCCAGTTCAGTGTTTACCATGCTATAGCTTAGAAGAGTCCAAGGGTTGTTTGTCAGAAATATTTATTTGCGTTTCATCTGCAATGCGATTAATCCCCAGAATTGTTCGGGAAGACCATGCTTTGGTGATTTTGGACACTGGTGAAGTTTAGATCATTAATGGAGAGAATCTCACAAAACATGTTTCTGTGTTTCTTCCCTATTTTATATGCGGTGGGCAATATAATCTTTCTTTTGAAATGTAATTTCAGTGACAGTTCTTTTTGAATTTAGACAGTGGAATAGCAAGGACTACCTTTCAGTCTACATCTTTGGATGGCAGGTTAAGAAAATAAAGGGGAAAGCACGCACCTTCCTCCTCTGTGTAAAAGGGACTATTCCAATGATTGCATATAAACACAATGTACACTCTCCGTTTATTTCATGACTACGGATTACCAAAAACACACATTCTTGTGATCAGGGAAAGAGCGAGGGAAAGAACCAGGCGAGAATAGAATATCAACGCATCTCCTCGAACAGAAACGACCCATCTGGAGGCACTGACTCCAGGGAACGCTGGCGGCCTCAGAAAGCTCTCTTGAGCATCTAAAGAGCAATATAAACTCGGGCTTTTTACCATATCTACATATATATATATAAAAGTACCGCGTAATTAATCGGTATATACTTATTCAAGTGAATTTACCCAAGTGTGAAAGATTTGACCTTCTGTATAATTAAAGAGTATGAGTTTGTCTTTTGCGACACCACGTTAGTGCTTCCAGAGCCTTTTGTGCAAAAAAAACCCTATTTAAATTTCTACATTATTATACTGACGTCCACTTGACATTCTTAAGCAAAGAATAAGCACCTCGAGCTGTCTTTGGGCCTTTACAATGTTCAGCGCCGGTCGGTCCTTCGACATAAAAAAAATAACATTAAACACTAATCGTGATTATTAATTATTTTTTTGTGTGAAACAGTTAAAGGAGCGCGGTCGGTTTGGGTTTCCTAAAGTTCAACATATCGAAATGTATTTAAGTAAAGGCTCAACAGCGGAGCAGGGAGTGTGTGAGTGCGTTTTAATGTATCCATGGGAATGTTCTGTCACATTTCAAACGAGTAATTCGTGAGCAAATGAAGGATTCCAGATTGGTTTATGAGGGTTAGTGTAGTGGCTAAAGATGCACCTCGGATTGCTTAGGAGGGTAAAGAAAAAAGGTTTCATTAAATCAAGAGTAAATTCCCATGATTTTCTTCGGGGCAAAAGTTCATGACCGTTTCTTGACCGGGTGGCAGGTGATAAGATGGGGATTTACTTTCCACTCTTTCAGGATCGACTTACCTGTGTAGACAAGGTGTAACATGACGAATCTTCCCGAGAATAACACTTGGCATCAGAAGCCTGCTCTGGTATTTAACTACTATTATTTTCTTAGATTTGGGGTGGGAAATTACATTTTCCCAGTCAACCCCTTCCAAAAGCATAAAGTGCAATCGTCAGAAATAAAAGATGTTTCCAGGTGTTTTGTTATTTAAGACCAGTTTGGAATGTATTTGTTGGTTAACACAATAGGTTGGTTGACCATAGGCGTCCGAGATGCTACATCTCGTCTTTCTCGTGGGATCTCTCTACTCATGGGCAAGCGATCATATCCAGTGGATTGGGATTTCAAATGCAGATTATTTATTTCTTATCGCCCTGTGATGATCATACAGCACTGTCAGCGTTGAGTATACATTACAAACAAAACCAAAAGGTCCTGATCGACCCCCAATATATATGAGTATTTCTGTCATTTTATCTTCTAACCAAGGTACATAACACACACACACACAAAGAAATAAGACACAGTTAGTTGCTCACGGCTGACAAGCAATTTTATCTTCCTTTCCTCACTCACACAGCTGTCAGTTGGAGGAACTATGGGGCAAGACAGGGAAACGTTTTATTGTATTTCTGGTCCTGGTGCTTTCTTGAGAATTGTGTAACTCGTGCAGTCCAATAAAACGATGCTCGTGGTAGACCAATCTTTAAAATATCATTCTAAGAATAACTAGCTCCTGGATTGGCTTTTGGATCACGCT